CAGTAGTCTGTTGCGAAATATAAGTGATACACAGCTGCCACAGCATTTGTCAATAATTGTTGTGCCATAACTGTTTAAACTATCATTTATTCAGTCATGACTGCATTACCGATGTTTCAGTAGCCAAATGCGTCGACTGTTGAGTAACTTTGTTTTATGTTTGGGTTTCCTAACCGTGCATAAAAAAATTTGTCGTTTGATGAGTCATACACCCTTAATCGAAAACTTGGAAGAAAAATTTAATTCCTCTTTAGTCGATGATTTCAGTGTTCAAGGCAGGTTTTCACAGTCAAGCAATTTCTCCCTGATGTGAATTCTCAATTTTCTTGCCCATATTTCACGGTCGGAGTCGGAACGCATGAAGAGCCAACTTTGAGCAATACAGTATAAAAATAAATAACATTATATCCTGCACAGAAGGCAGTTTCATAAACTATTATGTTACTGTTTTTTTAACATTTTTTGTTAGACTCATTTCGATTTGTACAACAAACGTTTCGCAAATACGCACAAGCCGATTGTATGGGACCATCTGAAGGTAAAACATTTTTACTACGCTAGTCCTTTTTTACGATTTACTCTTTAGGATAGACTGGAAGATTTTAAACAACACTGGATCTTGTCCCATATCGCTGAAGTAGAAAAAACTGAAAACTCGTAAGTGCTATATCAACGGTAAAAGTAGTGTTCTAATAAGGTAGTTGTAGCAATGAAATGAGGTCAAGAGTCCAAAACCTTTCAAGGGTCCAAATTTTGAGCAACCACTGTCTTGTTATTTAGCAGCCCTGTCGAGGAACAATGTTATGTCTCAAACGTTCCCTTAAAGTAGTCTTGCGACTCTGTTTATGCTTACAGTCGTTAAATTAGAAGGCTTTTATTCAGCGAACTACTGAAGATATTTCTCAGGGTCTTTGTGGTCATATTTTATATTTAACTTTGGAAGTCCTCCAACGACGCGCATTCGTTTAGGAACACTTCTTTTTTCTTATATTTTCTAAAATTTTAAGTAAAGCATCATCATGAACAAAACATGCGTATGTTATCATGATTTTAAGCTATATGATCGGATTAGCGGAAGAGAACTTCCCCTTTACTTAGATGTTTCTCGTTATTTTTTTCTTTCACGGTGAACAGACTATTTCAAGGTTAGTCGGTAAATTTAGAATGGTTAACTGGGTGCAGTCGCTTCCAGCTTTTTTTGCTTATGACAACGAATCACCCGCGGAGGAGTTGACGGCCAACAAGGTATGTTCTTTTTTACTGTATCACTGTAACACCGATTTTTAGCCTGAGGAAAGCGAGGAACATAGCGTCCAAAGTCAGGCTTCTTGATACTGAGTAATCGGTCTGAATTGTGGAGTCATTTTTTCTTCGGCTTGTTTGATAAATATTATCCTACGTTGGACTGACTGCACAACTTATGTTCCACAGCAGTATTCCCTGGCATATTAGCAGTTGAACAAAAACCGATCAGGAGCATATTCGATTTGCAGATTTAATCAGATTTTGTCAAAAACGCTTATAGTGGAATCAAGGAGATTCCATATAATAATAAATCATGCAAAAGTGGATTAATAGCAGAATTTAAGATTTCTCGGAACCAATCAAGATTAGCACAGCTTTATCAGCGAATTTTGATGCAGCAATTCAAAATATAAGTTTGTTTTACCAACGGCTCATTTTCCTTTGGCCAACGGCTGGTAGTCATGTGAAAATGATTGTTTTCAAAGTGCAGATCGTTTTATTTCTGAACAGTGTTTAAAGCCAAGTAGATTACACAAACTATCCGTTCTCGTTGATTCCAAAATTTCAATTTATCTGTGTGGTGAAATCAGACCTAACAGTGTTGAGGAGGTTTCTCGCTACGTTTAGAATTAAGCAACCTGTCAGTTCATACGTTTTACCAACGAACTGTGCATCAGCATTTCTTAAATTCGTCGAAAAATGGCAGGATACTCCACCATTCACTGATGACTATGACGTCATTCTAGCAAACAGCTTTCATTATAAAACGGTCTTCCGCGCCATGTCCGTTTTGTAGTTGTCTGCCGTTGGCGATATCATCATCGTAGGTTCAACTGAAAGTAGCAGCAATAATTACAGTATCATAATTTGGGTACTCGGTCTTTGGCCCTAATACCTCAGATGAGGATGACAAAAACAAGCCGTTTCCAACTTACTTTATTGGCAGTTACCATTTCCAGATCTCCAAATTCGGTGTTATTCTTACTGTGTGCACCAGTTTTACTTACAATTATACGTATAAACTGATGGGCGTTAGTAAAATAAAAATTCTCAAGAATGTATGTTTTCACTTGTCTTCGTTGCAATTTCTTGTTTTCTAATAGGAGTAACAAAAAAGTGATTAACCCAGACTGCGACTCGATTGCCATAGATGTTATTCTGCCAATCTAAAAGTGTATAAAATTCGAAGTAGCATGGACACTATACAGTAACCACTGGATAGTGAATAAGTAAGAGCGCTCATTCATTGACTTGCCAGTCCTCCACAGTCGATGGTTCCTCTGCTGCTGTCGAACAGTAGTGAATGAATGTCAAAATGTCAAAAGATTCAGACTTACCGGATTTATTTGGTGAAAAATCACTTATCCTGGCTTCTAGTCGGATGAGGGCAAGATTATAATTTGTCTATTTGGCTGCAAATCACCGTTCGATGTCTACATTCAGAAAAATGTTTCGACCGCGAACCCTGAAAATCAATTCAGTTTAGAGGGTAACTGTAAAGAAAGCCTTATCTCCAGCCGCTGCGCGCAAGTTCGAGAGAACAGACTTAGACTTGGTAGATGTTAAGGGATAGAGTTCCGTTTGATCATAATTAACCGATCATTAACGATCGTTTTAAGTTTCATGATAAGTTTTACGGCTAAGGAAACCCCTACACACATTAAATATATTTTGTCCTTGCATTCAATTCCTTGATATGACCGTGGCAACTCTTCACGACATGACATAATGAGCGTGAACTTAAGATATATAATGAAGGTTTAAATTCTAAATTTCTTACAGTGCCCCGCTTCAATGTCATTCTTCTATCACTTGGCAAGTAGTTCAGAAATCAGTCATAAGGGAAGATCATTAAGAACTAAAGTAATTAAATTATCCAAAAGAATTTTGCAATGAATTTCAAAACTTTAGTTACAATGGATCAGATGCAGACAATATCACACAAAAGACAACACAAAACCAGATATAGTACCGCAGAAGCACTTGTAAAATATTGTTCTAGTGATGTATACCGGAAGTATGCAAAAACAAAAAAAAACGTCTTTGAGACGAAACCAAAAAGAAACAAATATTTGCTCCAGTTAAATGCTCCAGTCTTGCTGGTCGGCATTCCTGAGCAAAGTCGAAAGGTCATCCTGTTAATGAGTTTAGAGTTAGCGTAAAAATAAAAAACAGCAACATTTCCCACTTCAAATCCAAGCAATTTTGCAAGTTGCATGCAACCGTCGTCGGTAGAGGTCAATAAAGCCACGTCCCGAAAATTTTCCTTGCAACCAAACATAAAAGCTGAACCCCTGGAGAATATCCGCCCAGCAATATGTTTCTATAATAACTACCCTTCATCGAAAAACATATTTACCATAAAAATGAAAGCATGTAAAAACAAATTATAAAGAACATGCAAAAAACAAACGAAAATAACCAGACCTTGTTCTTAAGTCAGCATGGTGCAGGAAAGAAAATAAATCAGAAACATCGGTAAAACAAAACCATTGACAAACACTTCACAGTCAGTACAAAACAGGTGTATCTGCAGTTCAAACAACAGTATTTAATGGAAACTGGCCTACAGGGTAGCGAGTAAATTCCACTAGAAGTGTCTAGATGGAGGAAAAGAAGACTATAATGGAACATCGACAGGAACGACAGAAGGATAAAATGTATTTGAGGACCTGCACAACATGATGCCTGCAAGAAAGTGGTTTAATCGCTTCATACAACGGACACTAGATAACCATAAAGCAATAATCGCTTCAAATTTTACAGTAGACCATGAATAAGTTTGACAACAGCCACTGGAAAATAGGGTACAGCACTGAAAATCTGAAACACTAGAGCAATACAAGATAGTCCTTATGCTATCTTATGGCTTGCATGACTAACAGACCTCCAGGTGCGCCTGACGTTAACTCATCATGATTATGACATTTGTTGACTGTTAACAAGCAACAGGATGGATGGTGACAACGCTGCCAAGACAGAAGGTACAACGGAATTCGACTGAGTTCTGGTTCGATGTCTAAGTTTCGTCTTTGGAGAGCAACGTTAAATGTAGAATGGAACGAACAGCGATTGATCAGGTAGAAAACATGAAAATGTTCAGTGTAAAGGCACTCACACTGTAGAACGAGGTGACATTACTGACATAGTACACCTATCTCTCGATTTATTAAAGTCACAGAGTGAAAACTATTCGCTTGGCATTCTGATTAATTTCAGTACAAATAATTTTTCCCGGTTGCCAAAACATTACCTAATACCCCACCTACATTAAATTTCTCAAACCCTTGCCTATTTTTATTGGTTTTGGGGGCAACTGCAGATGGCCTTTAAAACGGTTCTGGTTCGCTGCCAAAACGAGCAGCGACAATTACATCTCCTGTGAATTTAACCATCTAGTCGGTGGTTTGCCTTCTTGACTCACGACTATTGCGGCAGAATTTTCATTTTCACTACGCCGTCGATTACATATTACTTCTTGCTAGGTGTGAATATGTCCACCCAAGTGAATGCTACACAATTCTAAAAGTAGGAACAGTATTACTTTGTCATGACAGTTATTACCTATCCTGTCTTACCCTATTTTGTTGCTTGATGAAACAGTTGTCTGAGACGTACTTTTCGAACAGCACAGGTGCCGGGTACGAATGCCGTTGGTTATGGGGGTAATCTTTGTCTTATTCAAGAATTCCCTTGAGCACGAAATTTATCATATATTGTTTCAGAGCAGAGTTACTCAGTCGATAAAGCGTCGAACTCAGAACCGATAGGTCTTGAGTTCAAGCGCTGGTGAGGGTTACTCGTCCTGCTTCCTTCTGAGGTTGATAAATGAGTACCACTGCGTGGGAAAGACAGGAGACTACACGTTATGCCTGCCACGTGGCTGTATATTCTGCCTTCAAAATAAGGCACTCGTAGCTGATGGCACGGAAACAGAGATCAGCCCGTACCATTAACTACATGAAAAGGTCACTAAAATGGTCGAATCACGAAAGTGAAGAGAGATGAAAATTCCAATCATTTTATTTCTTTTTACTTCCTATTTTACCGTATAAAACAGCAATGAAGCGTTAAAGTATGAGCGTGAATTGTACGCCAGTTACTGTAACAACAATGCAAACATAAGAACTTATGTAAACAAAGAATAAACAATTGTCTTCATTAAAATCTAAATTTTTGTATCTGTAAAATCACAAAAGTAGAGGTAAATCTGTTTAGAGAGGAACTTTAATTCTATAGCGCTTTAACCGATGTCTTAAAGCAAAATGCAAAAGTAGCTCCAAAAACAAGAGATATTATAAACCATAAATACTCTGCTTATGCAAAGGGCTCAAGGTGATGATCACAACAAACACAAATACGGCTAGAAGGGTGAGAAAAATTCTTCAGACTCGAATGTTTTAGATGCGGATTCCACCGCGTTCAATCGTTACCAGGAAGAAGCAGGAATGAAAGAAGTTGTTCGCTATTGCAAAAAATGTTTGCAAATAGAAAAGTAGCTACGAACTTGCTTCATTTGTTGCAGCTAATATTCGTAAACTGATGGATAGGTATTAAGGCAAGAAGGTAAGCAATACCAGGTTCCACAAATTTTAATCATCAGCAGCCGAGGCAGATTAAGTACTCTTTCAAGAATCGCTCATTACCTGGAATCTGTGGAGAATGACAAACGAATGACAACTTCAACAAGTCCAAATTCTAATACTGCCAGGAAGTCATGAGGGTTTGAAGGGGCATTTCATGTATTTGAAGCATTACGTGTCAGCACTTACTTCCAAAAATTTTAGAATCAGTTTAAATTAATAATCAAATGTCACGTACCATGCCAACCAATTCTTTGTTGATTAAAAGCCGGGGAACACGTTGAGATACCCTAAAGTGATAAATTTAGGGTGAATACATAGGTCTAAAATTAGTAGACGAGTACTTGTCAACCAACGTGGCAAAAGGGGTGACTATCAACGATGTGCCCATTACAATAAGCACGTCGCAATCAGCAAAATCTTCGTCAGATAACTGAAAAAAACGGTCCGGTAGCCGTTCACTGAAAAATACCACATCGGGCTTCACGATACCCTGACAAACGTTGCAGCGTGGAACATAAACATCATTGAACAATTTTTCTGCCAAGAGTCACAATGAGAAACAAACTGTTCCAAATGCCGTCTTACCTCGTAGCCAATCCAGTGAATAACACTTATTGCACGTTAAGCAATGCGAAGTGTAAAACGTCCCGTGAGCTTCCACAATTTTCTCCTCTGGAATACCCGCCAACTTCTCGAGTCCGTCAATGTTCTAAAATATTTGCAGCTGCAGAGGGCGTGCTGCTTCTCAGCCTTATCATTAACCAAAAGCATACGTTTACAAGCTGCAAC